ATTTTTGTATTTTGAGGTATCAGTGTCAATCGAGATCAAATCGAGAGATGCAAGATACTCAGTAAAAATGTTTGTAATAATCGCCAACTAAATCAGGCTCTAAGACAAATACTACCACTGGGCAAGTTCATTAACATTTTAGTAGTTCTAGAACTATATTGACCATAAGCTCGGAGAAATAATGAACAATCGAATATATAATTTTACACAGACCAATAAAAATATTTCAGTTCAATATTGGATAGATTTTAATACTAATGGAAGTAAGGTAAGCATCCTCAGTGAAATTGTAAGATACGTAACTTCACATAGAAAACATTTAGCTTTGAAAACTGTAAAAATTACTCAATCATTACAGTTTGTCCAATGCAACCAAGAAACAGATACATCTGATTTAGGTGACAATTCTAAGTATTACATCGGCTAGTTTACCTTCTGTAGCAGATTCTGTTTCTTTTTTGGAGATTCAAAACTTCCAAAGCATGACAATCTAGCTAAGTTATTGTCTACTCCTATTTCTATCCTAAAACATACCTGTTCTTAAATGTTCAATCCCTGAGAAAAAAATGCTCCAAACTTTTGATTTCATTAGATAATTTGTCATTTCCCGATATAGTGATACTTGTCCGAACATTGGCTAAAGATAGATGAAATAGTAGCCTTATCAGGCAAGCATGGCGAATCCAGCAAAATTACAAAAAAAATACATCAATTTGATCGGTTTCAAATATTTTGTTGCTGATACTCAAGGTGTATTTGAGTGCCCTTCTGGTGAGCAACAAACTTCAAACACTTTTCATTCCAAAGAAAAGCAGTTTCAAGTTAGCAAGAATGAGGAAAATGGAAAAAAAAATTAAAAATCGGCCGATCGGTTTCAACTATTTTGTTGCTGATACTCAAGGTGAGTTCACTCTTGATGAGCAACAAATTTAGAACATCTTCAATTCCAGGGAAACCAGTTTCAAGATAGCAAAATCATAAAAAATTTAAAAAAATATTCAACAATTTTTCGCTATATCCAAGGTTTAGCAACTTAATAGCAACCACTTCTGTAAAGATCAAAGGAAAAGTATATAATTTATTGAGTTACCTTGCTACCTTTATATCACGATAGCCTTATTTGCGATTTCTAGGGATCGGCAAGAGCAACAAAATCGTTATTTTGGCAACTAATTAGCAACTAATTAGCCACAAATTAATGTATTTTTTTTGCAATTTTGCTGGATTCTCCATGCTAGCCTGACAGGGCTTGAAATAGTTTATATTCCAAACTATACTATTAGATCCAAATTCTGTAGAACGTCCTCTCCACATCGAGGAACTATTATTTTAGTAAAAGAGTCTATACAGGATCAAATCAACTCAATTGCAGTAGATAAATTCAATCATTTTCTTGAAGAGAAAGTGAATTAATTTTTGATAACTTACTCTTCAAAAATGAATATTCACATACTGTATTTTTACAGATCACCTTTTAGTGATTCTTTTCAATTACTCAACGGACTGGAATCTATTCTCTCTGAATTACCTTCAAAAGCAAAAATTATTTCAACTGGAATAAAATTCGAAAACAACACAGTTTTTAATCAATTTATTGCGAACATATAACTTGGAAATGCACGTGAAATCTCCTACACGTGTGTCTCAATTTACCAAATCCACCATAGATTATTTTTGTGCAAATTTAGACTTCGAGCTAATTTCTTGTGATGTTCTTTCTACTGGCATCCGCATCTGGCGATGCATTGAATTTATTGGAGCCTCTGGAGACACCCTACATTTTGTTTTGTAAGAGAGAGGACATTGTTAGATCAAGATCTTCAGATGTTGTGGTGCTGCAGGTTTTTCCGGGTTTTCATGCAGCTGAAAAAGCAAATGCGCCACTGGAATCAATGAAGTCGGTATCGCCAATTAATTTTCACTGTTGTTTTTATTTTATTTTTATCGTTGTTTTAATAAAATAAAGTTAAATTAATTAATTTATATATTTGATAAAAGCTTTCCGGTTCAGAAAATCAATTTTATACACAAAAATTGGTTGACAAGAGGTATAAGGGTTTCGGCAAAAAAACATGAGGGTATTACATTATTTGAGAAAATTTACATCTGCTCCATTTTTTCTTAATTACTTCCTACGCTATCGCACCATTCACAGAAAAGTAGTTAAACTAGCCGAAAGCAAATATTATAAAAGTAGAATGGATAAAGCTACGTTTAAATAAAAAAAAAACTTGGTGTATCATTAATGAACTTACTGGCAAGAGACACAAAAAATTTGTAGACATTCCGTTTTCTCCTACTGTACTTAATGACTTCTATTGCTCTATTGCGGACGACTTGACAAAAATATAAAAGCAGCCAGTGACCCCTTAGACTATGTGAATATTGAAGTTACGTACACCTTTATATTATATGATACAAATATTACCGAACTGTATGAAACATTATTTTCCATTAAAAATGAAAACTCAACAGGCTCAGATGAAATATCTATAAAAATCCTAGAAAATATTCCGATAAGAATACTCGATATATTAGTTGGTCTTATAAATAATTCATTTAGAGAAGGAATCTTTACAGTTTTTTTGAAGAAGTCGATTGTGTTAGCACTGCCAAAGGGAGAAGTCATCAATAGACCATAAAGTCCTCGTCCAATTTCTCTTATCTCTGCAATGGCTGAATTGATAGAAAAATCAGTCAAAACAAGACTCCTTTGCTTTCTGAATGAAAACAAAATAATAATTGATTGCCAGTTTGGTTTTCAAAAGCAAAAAACACTTTCGATGCCATATTTTCATTTCCTTACAATGTTTATTCCAACATAAATGACAAAGAAACAGTGGCTGCGGTCTTCTGTGATATAACCAAAGCATTTGATTGCATGAATCATAAAATTATTTTACGGAAACTCATTAGATACGGTATAACTGGAATAAGTCTTAAGAGGTTTGAGTCATACTCAGCAGATCGCACCCAGATGGTCAAAACCACTTCATACTCAAATGAAGGTAAAATTACTTGCGACATCCCACAAGGTTCGGTACTGGGCCCACTTTTATACTTAATTTACAATAATGACCTATCGTCTATAAACATCCAAGGAAAATTTACTTTATTTGCTAATGATACTACAATTTTATGGCATGCTCCTAACAACCATAGGTTGTATGAAGTTATTGAGAATGACATCACGAAAGTGAAAGACTATTTTGACTCAAATCTCTTGAGCTTGAATTCATCAAAAACAAAAGTAGTGTCCTATCGTTGCCAGATTCCAGCCGTACATCTAAATAATATTCAAATTGACAACGTAACAACTTCTAAATTCCTTGGCTTGTTCATTGACACTAAATTTAAAATTCAACAAACATGTAGATACTTTGAATTCGAAGATCTCCTCTGGATGTTATGCAATACGAGTAACTGCATTTGAGCTCGGATCTGGAGAAGCTAGAGTTTATCATCCCTTTTTGAATCCCATCTTCATTATGGTATTTGCTTTTGGGGTGTGTGTTCTACCACATGCCTTCAATTAGCATTACTAATACAAAAACGTGCAATACGATGCATATGCAAAGCCAAGCCTAGGGACTGTTGTCGGCCTCTTTTTGCCTCTAACAGAATCCTAACTGTGGTCTTCTTATTTATATATGAGACAATCTGCCTTCTCTTCAAAAATAGGGTATTGTTTAACAACTTGGACCCGCCAATGTATCAACCAGGCAAAGATTCAGCTTTAAATTACCGCTGCCTTCTTCTACCCTACTTAAAGATTCAATTATTTACAACGGTCTCAAAATGTTCAATCACCTTCCTCAAGCTATAAGAACCTTATGAGTGAGACTTTATTATAGCTTAGCTGAATTCTACGATGATAATTTTAATTGAGAAGACTAACTATAATATCTACGGTATTCTATTGATTTGATTCATAGTTTAAATTGATTTATTTAATTTTATTAACCATGTTCTTATTTCCTGAACATTTGTTATTATTGACATGTCTCTTTTCAGTTCATGTCATCACTTACTTTTAGTGATTTTACTTTTATGATACTTTTGTGATTTCATGTATATGTTATTTATATTTCGCACAAGGCTTTGTCAATAAGAATTAATTATTCAGACAATAAAGTATATTTGAATTGAATTGAATTGAATTGAATTGGATTGAATTGAATTGGATTGTATTGAATTGGATTGAATTGGATTGAATTTGATTGAATTGAATTGAATTGAATTGAATTGAATTGAATTGAATTGAATTGAATTGAATTGAATCGAATCGAATCGAATCGAATCGAATCGAATCGAATCGAATCGAATCGAATCGAATCGAATCGAATCGAATCGAATCGAATCGAATCGAATCGAATCGAATTGAATTGAATTGAATTGAAAATTTCATCATGTGTGTCGATACATGCAAAATGTAGTGTAAGAGCCCATCCCTCTAATGTCAAATATTTCTCATAGTTTCCTGAGCAAAATATTGAAGAAAGTATTCTCAACTCTGTTACTGCGAAATTTTGCGAAAAATCCCAGTAACGCGCACCACTTTAAATATGTTTCGATAATTTGAGGATTTATAATTTCGTCCTGAACTATATAAAATCCATGAACCTTCTTATTGATAGTTGAAAAGATAGAAACTCTTCCAAATAAGCTATCTCACGCGCTCTCTTCTACTTAAAGATGTTTGTCACTCCAAGGGTTTGTTGAATGAGGTATAAACTATCATTTCAGTTTAAAACATTTCCTGTGTTACAGGCATTTTCGATAATATTTAATGGTTGATTATAAATGATAAGGCGATGAAGAAAAGACTAAACAACTATTGACAATTAATCTTCAGATTTCGACCTTTATATCAAAAACCTGAGAGTCTTCAAAGCGCATGTCTTAGAGTGAGTTGCGGAGAAAAGCATTCTCCCTATTTTTTACATTGCCGAACTTTGGTGTCTCACCTTCATCCATTTCCAGCCAAATTCATATGAGTAGTAGTGTAGTTAGTACCACGATACCTGACTATAAAAACAATTGGATGTCGATTTAACAGAAGTTGTGGAAATCAGTTCAGTTTGTCGTTGAACATTGAGGCGCGAACGTTGATAAAAGTGAACGTAAATATTCGCAATATCAACTCCATAATTATGTAGTATTCTTTACTATTTAAGATTTTCATCCGTTTGGCGAATCTACCAAAAAAGTATCTCGTTTTCGGCGATAATAACAGTGTGTCATTTCTACTGGGGAAATTAAGAGATTCTCGATGTGAGTAACTGTCAAACATAGTTTTCCCTAGCGATTGATTTATTTTATTGGAAATCTTCATTTTAGATTCACAGGTATTTTTCAGAGGACGGAGATTATTATTGCTTGCATTTTTTCCACTGAATACAACAGATTCGCAATATCTGACTGTGTGAAAAATATTATGAATAATTTTAAATTTTTTAAGTGAAAAATCTAGAAGTTTTAAGAACTGAATAAAATTTCATTTTTCATTAATGATAATGTTTATTTTCTAGAGCTCATTGCCATCGCCATTGAATTTTTACAGTTATATTACATAATTTAATTGGTTTTTTAAATTGGGCGCAAATAAAAGTAACTCAGCAGTACAAAATAGGTAACTATCAGCAAAAATGATTGTTTGATTCCATAACACTAGTTCAATCAAAAACATATTTTGAATAACATTGACATCGAAACAATATTCTCGCTGAAGGTTGCGCTCACCAAATTGTCATTCTCAGAAATGAGTTATAACAAAACAAATATACATTCTATACTCAATATAGTACAAGTTCATAACCTCCAAGTACCTTGTTGAGAACGATATCATGCCATTTGTAATTTTCCCATTTAACATGTCGCCCTAATTCCATAATTTCCAATTCCAAGAAGTCATATTGCTTTTAATACCTTACTTGAGCGGAATTTTCTCAAATGAATAGAAAATTTTCAGTGCCCATAAGAAAGGTAATCCGTGGAACATGGTTTGAAAGTTGAAAATGAATGTCTCGAATTGAACGTCCCTCAAATCGACACTTTTATATAAAAAAGTAACTAGTTTTAGAAAAAACGTTCTAGATTTGTTATAATACATTTATTCTTCCAAGCTGATTTGTTTCTTGTTAACCTGATGAAAAAATAAATCATATACTCGTACTTTATAATTATCTTCATATTTTACATTTCCTCATATTCATTTTCTGAAGACAATACAGAATTTCCAATTTCATTTTATGTAATAATTGTGAATGGATATGAGAATAATACCTAGTATAGATTTGATTCATCATTATTATCATCACTGCAATCTGGTTTCCCAGGATTTTCCTTCTAACTTATTTTTCATGAGAAAAAAAATGCATTCAAATCGGTTATCAGTATTCCAGTTCATGTTACATCGCAAATTAGTTCACAGTTTGCTACTGAAAAAATGCAAAAAAATATTAAGTATACAGTGTTTCTCTCAGAGACACAGGAATTTGGTGGTCACTTCGCTGTTAGAACAGTGGGCATGCAACAGTGGGAGATGCTTATGTGAGATTCACGTTACATATAGTGCAAGTAAACGATATAGTGCAACCTACCTTTCAACAGCTCCCCTTCAATAATATAGTTAGGGAGCTAACTAATTTCGTTATTCAATAATCATTTCTGATTATATAAGAATCGCAATAACTATATAATATATGTATAATAAAAATATAAATAATAATAAATATATAATGAATATTTCGTTTTTATAGGTGAGTGGGAAAGTAGGAGTGACTTTTTTAATCCTTTTCTGCCAGTCTTCTTCGGTAATATCAGATACTTCTTCTTTAACTAGCTCTATTACCTTCTTATCAAATTTTGGAAAATTATTTTTACGCCTGATGCTTTGTTTCAATTTTTCCCATATCAACTCGATGGGATTGAAAACACAAAAAAAGTCTCAGTATGGTGTGTCCATACATTTCAGCAATACTCTTAAGAGCACACACTTTTTCAAATGTTTTTGTCTGTAAAACTTCAAGTAGTTGGTTTTTGGTATAGTAATCTTCTAAATACAAATTGTTATCCATTAAAAAACTTTGTATTTCATCTTTCCTCGAATTTTTATTCGGTACTTTGATGAGCTGCCACGAATAGTAGGAAGCGTTGTAAAGGACTATTACACTATCCGCATCCAAATTTGGAAGCAATGTGTTTTCAAACGATTCCTCGAAAATATCAGCTTCCATCTTTTTATGATAGGCATGCCAGTGATATGACAGTCCTCAAGTTTTCTTTTACATAATTTCAAAGAATTCGGAACCCATCCGTAGCTTCCTCCGCAAAGCACAATGATTAGTCGCGATCCCTTGTCTGCAGACATGTTAGGCGTACACATTCTTGAACCATCAGTCTATCCTTACGTAACTGAGTCGTGAGTATCATACCAAATTTCGTCCAAGTAGAAAATTTGTTCTTGTCTATATTTAGTTATTTGTTCTAAGTATTTGTTATGCAATTCCACTATTCTTCCGATTTCCAAAACTGCTTGACATTTATTTAATATTTTAAATATAAATCCTAGTTTCTTTATTTAATTCTGAAGAGTTTCGTCACAGCAGCTCACGTTATGGCAGGAAGTATTCAATTTCTTCCTTATGATTTCAGTTGTAGAAATATCATTGCTTTTGTAACAGTCGTACATTGTTTTTTTAAGTGATTTTATCAGATAAGCATCTAAATGTTTCAGTAATCCTGTATCACATCGCATCTTGCGTTAACGTTTGTTTTTGACTATTTTACGTACAGTTTCCCTCGAAACCAAACTTGAGATGTAGATTCTTATTTACATTGAAACATACTCTCTGTGTTTCAGTATTCGAATGCATCCGAATCTTATTCACTGGTATCTCTTTTTCGCATTGTTCATCATCGTTATTGGAATCACTACACACTCGTTATTACTATTAGTACCTGTCCAAGTACGCCACATTTGAAACAGATAACAAAAATCTTAAGTAATTATAACGATCAGTTCCTGAACTGAACACGACGGCGATAACCACCCCCGCATTCCCGATTTCTATTCGTCACCGTAACATGCCTTTATATTTGATTTTATGACTCTTCAGTCAATCATAAAACTCGGTTAGTGAAAAGTATCCAATACGAACCGCCAATTCTTCAGTCCACGTGGACTATTTCACTGCCGGTTCATTTCTATATATTGGTTTTTTTGGCCTTTGAGAGTGCCGACAACTATAAGTGTGCACACTACCATTTACTTCGACTACACATCATACGAGGATATTAGCGCGTTTTTGTTTTCGAATAAATAGGTGTGAGCTGGAAATGTGTTTCCATATCATTGACGCGTTGAAATCACTTGGTCTCTTTGGTCCATCCTATAGTTCCACATGATTTTGCACTTCTTTCAGCTTTGTCATTAATTTTTGGCAGCAGTTTTGTCCATGTCATGTCATTGCCACAGTTATAACAATAACTGAAACCTGAAACATCAGGGTTTGCGCTAATTTTGCTTTCCTTTCTAGTTCATCAACTAATACATTACCTTATATTCCTAAATGCGATCAAATCTACAGAAAATATGTCAAAGACAAACCGCTATGGGATCCGATGAAGAGCCGTGTAATCGGGGATATATTAAGACACTTATTTAAGAGTGAGTCTCCAGGTGGTGATTGGCTCCCACATCTCAGAAAGCGACATTACTTGGTCCATCAACGGAATCAATCCGTATGCAGCTGGCCTGGACAATTTCCCCAATACTTATATGGTTCTGTTCGATATTAGACCCGACAATCAAAAAGCCAAGAGAACCATCATCCCTGAAAACAAAGACTCACTCTCTGTCAATAACTGGTGGCTCATCACAATCTCCCCGATCCTATCGAAGGTCCTCCACAATATCCTGCGATCTTGTGGGTGGGCTTGCACCTGTGTATCAGAGAGGTTTCTCGGAAATCGACAGGGTCTCCCTGCTCTTGTCTAAGGATAGGGTCCTCTCACTTCCAGCTATCATGACTTTCTTCTTCGATTTATGAACATGTGGAAACTTTCATCAATATATACGTACAGGGTGGGTTAACAAGATTCCCTCGGTCCATTGCTATCAGAGGAGACAATTTTTTGAACTGCTCAATTTTTTTTGCAGTCATATCGATGAATACTATCTTTCATACTCGCATACTGGGTATGCGAGAGAATAAGTTTGAAAGATTGTATAACCAAAGATAGTATAACCAAAGTTATATTTTTTAAATAGAACACCCAGTATATGAATACGTCATTCGATTCCATATTGTTATAGCTTTCTAAGAAATTTATGTTTTCGAATTTTCATTGCCAAGTTATTCCAGAAAAACCTATTTTACAGACATTATTTTTTTAATTCACCATCCGCATGTCTACATGCATTAAGTGAATTTTTTAGGGATAGTTAGTCAACATCACTTTGATGATTTCGGGAATCTCAACTTTAGGAAACAATGTAATATAGTGTGCTCGGTAAAACCGGTCAAGTTTCATTTATTTCCAAACAGACATAATTCAACTCTTTCAAATGGAACACTCTGTATTTTCCATTTATTCAAAATATGTTCAAACTAGGTTTTTTGGTTAACCAGCTGTCGGACCCCTACGAACGACAACCCTCAGAAGTCGAAACTTGTGCGCGCTAAGAACTAACGTTGGAATTTTTCGTACCATCTACTGATAGTTATCAGTAGTTTCAACCGTAAGAAATGCGTGAAAAACCTAAAGAATATTTATTCTGCTTTTTTCTTTAAAACTCAGTTATCCATGACTGTTGAAGTTTTTTCGTAGATTGAATCATTTTCATTATGAATTATGTATTGGAAGATATGGTGCATATGGTATATGTTTCGAAGAGGCTATTCTTGGAAATGGCATTCATTTCACAGTCACAAAATTGCTTGAATAAAAAAACAGACGTCAGTCATTTAAGTGACATTTATTCATATTTACTTCTAATAAATAAAAATTGGGATATTCTAGAAGATAACTCATTTTATGAAAAGATTTTATGATGAAGATTTCTGTTTTTTACCTCTTTTATTTGTAACTAACGTTACTGCAGTTTCGACCTATATGGACATTTTCAAACTTAAACAATAAACCAATTGACCAATGAACCAATGAGTTTATTGTTTAAGTTTATCCATATAGGACGAAACTGCAGTAACGTTAGTTACAAATAAAAGTGGTAAAAAACATAGAAATTTTCATTTCTCTTTTCATCATGA